GAACCCGCCACCTTAGGTGTATGTGGCTGGCACCTTAGCCGCTTGAGCCACAGGCGCCGAGCCGACAGATTTATTTTTAAATGCATATGGAAAAATAAAGGCCCATACGTAGCTAAATGAACTCTGAAAAAGTAGGCCAAAGGTGCAGGGAAGGAGCAGGGGATTTTCCTATGCAATATTTACATTTGCTAAAAACTTTTGCAGTGAACACTGATGTGGGAATAGGGAACAGTGTTTCAAAACAGAGAGCTGGGGAAATTAGAAGAGGGTGCATAATTAGTGGTGCCACATATCAGCAGAGAAATCAGGAGTTGTTTGTAAATGGTATAGAGAGCAGCTCTCTACATGGAGAAAAGTAAGCCAAGATTCTTATCCTACCTCACAGAGAGGTATCTTCCTTTACCCCGGGGGGTGTGTCCCAAACACTCAGCACACAAACTTTTTAGAGGTGGGTTCAAGATGTGGAGGCAAAGCTACAAATCCTGAACAGCCCCGCCCCCCAGCATTGTCTAGCATTTAGGGGTCACACTGACTACTCTTTCCCCCACTATACAGCTTGCTCTCTGTGCTTTTGAGGGTGGGAATCAGTTTTTGTTGTTGTTGTTGTTGCAGTCCCAGCACTTAGCACACCATCTGGCACAGAAGTGATAAAAATGTTTGCTGAAACCACCTGATGGAGTGGCTGGTGTAGGGCAACTGCTTCATTATGGTGGGAAGGTCCATAGTTTTGGGAAAATGAGGTTACCCTCATTACTTGGCAGGGTTGCCACAGCCAACAATCTTGATGAGATCATCTCCACAAAACAGGGGAGAGCAACATGAGCTCCCAGGCACGGAAAAATGTCCTTACATTTCTCTCCACAAAGTAGAACACTTGACCCAAGAATTAACTGTGTCCATTGGTTGGATCTTACATTTATTAGATTCCCTTTATTCTTAACTCTGATTAAAATGTCTTCATGTCATTGCTGCTCTTCTGTGAAGCCAGGGGTTTAATTACTTTAAAAAGTAATTTTAAACAATGAGTCAGTGTTTTCTTTCCCATGCCAAGCAGGTGAGTTTTATTAGTTTCTGTTACTATACTATTTCTATTTCCACTGAAAAGATACTGTGTCTATCAACTGGATTTACTATAGCCAACACTTGACTATATTCTGAATCAAAACAACACAAAATCCCTTAGATATGACATTTTGGGAATAATCGGGGAATATTAATACATACTATCTAGTATTATTGTTAACTTTCTTAGCTGGGATGATGGCATTATGTTGACAAAACTCTTATTCTTAGGAGTAGTATGAAGAAAACTTGCAACCTTATTTCAGAAAGTTTAGCAAAGAAAAGGTGCATGCCTGTAAATTACACATTGTACACCCAGACGGAATGCGCATAATGTTAATACTCGGAAGCGCTTCACTGTGATATTCTTTCAACTTTAGCAGTAGGCTGGGTGTAGTGGCTCATGCCTGTATCCTAGCACTCTGGCAGGCAGGGGCACGTGGATTGCTTGAGCTCAGATGCCTCAAGACCAGTCTGAGGAAGAGTGGGACTCTGTCTCTATTAAAAAATAGAAAAACCAGATGGCATTGTGGCTGGTACTGATAGTCTCTGCTACTTGGGAGGCTGAGGCAAGAGGATTACTTGAGCCCAAGAGTTGGAGGTTGCTGTGAACTATGACGCCATGGTACTCTATCTTGGAGTCTCAAAAAAAAAAAAAATGGCTGTAGGTTTGAGAGAAAAGGGATAGATACTAGTTTGTATATCAGTAATTAAAAATAAAAACCTATCAGACTGATAGAACATCAAGGGAACTACTAGTTGTATATGCAAGTCTTGACGTCCAATACCTGTGGATGTGGCCTTATTTGGACATAAGCAATTGAGTTAAAATGAGGTCATAAAGTTAAGGTGGGCCCTACTCCAATTTGGGGCTCCCCCACAGCCCACTGGAGCCCAGGCACCGAGGGAGGCCAGAGACTCTATGGAGTCAGACTAAAGTTTTATTTATGTGAATGGAATAAGGAGGGAGAAATAAATCTCATACTTCTTATTAATGGTTCTAAGAAAGCAGCAGGCAGCTGCAGAAGAACTCCTTCTCTAAAGATAACAAACTTTACACTGAGCTAAAATAACCTTGACAAGAAAAAAAAAAAACGACTCTGTAACTAATAACAACACCCTGATTTCTTTGTTTCTTTTTTTTTTGAGACAGAGCCTTAAGCTGTCCCCCTGGGTAGGATGCTGTGACATCACGGCTCACAGCAATCTCCAACTCCTGGGCTCAAGCTAGTCTCCTGCCTCAGGCTCCCAAGTAACT